TAGAGGCTCAGCACTACTAGCTAGCAGCGTTTCCTCCGCTGCTTGTTGAAGAGCTGCACGACTAGGCAGTTCTCGCTGCAGCAGCCATTGTTCTAGCTTTCACAACAGCTGCTGCTGCTGCTGCTGCTGCTGCTGCTGCTGCCGCTGCTGCTGCTGCTGCTGCTGCTGCTGCTGTCCCTGCAAATGGTCGCCTAGACGAGTCTTAGGCGCCAAATAAGCGTTGGACAAGACCCGCTAAGTGCAGTAAGCACAGAGTAAGAAGAGAAACAAACCTAAAAACACAGGAGGCCTTTGCCGCGTTGTGTAAATGAAGAGAAAGCTGCTGACCACGGGCAGAACGTATCCTGGGCCAAGCAATAAAGAAAGCGGCGTTTTCTTTGCTCCTAATGTTGTTGCGCTTCTGCTGCTACCTGCTTCGTTGATTCACCCCTTACAGTGGGGGGGCAAGCGTAAGCGTTTCAACTCAAACCGACAACTGCTGCAAGAAGCACGGAATAGACTGATCGGCGTCGCATGCACACGATGTACCGTCTTGCTGCTTCAGCTGTCTAATGAGCCACGAAATCCCTTCTTCTATGCCTTCGCCAGTCTTGGCGCTGCAGGCGAAGACGCCGCTGCATGCAGATACAGATGGAGAAACAAAGAAGAAAAAATCAAGAGGCGTTCGTGCAGAGTGAAACAAGTCGAACTCTNAGATACAGATGGAGAAACAAAGAAGAAAAAATCAAGAGGCGTTCGTGCAGAGTGAAACAAGTCGAACTCTTTCTATTTAGGGTTTAGGGTTTAGGGTTTAGGGTTTAGGGTTTAAGGTGAAAGAAACACACCACTCCTTGTCAACAAGCTGATGCAACTTCAACTCATGTTGTATTTCCGCTACAGATAGAGCCCCTGGTTTGTCCTGTTTCGTCGCGAAGACGAGAAGAATGTTGGCGTTGGGTAAATCCCGCAGCAAGCGATCGAGTGAGCGGTTGGCTGTGCAACACAAACACTCCTCAAAATGCAGGAAAGCTCACCGCGCCGCGCCAAGCACACACGCGAATCCAGTGTACGTACACCCGAACACTACTGAGTTTCTGCATACAACGATCGACTTACCCACTCGCAGGCGGCCTGGATCTGCACTATCCACCACAAAAATTATGCAGCGAATGTCCAGCTGATGCGGTCGCACCTGAATTCAAAATAAAAAAAATACACAAGAAC